CCGGTGGAAATTACGCCATGCTTTCTCTTCTCGAGATCACTTTCCGTGCCATACAGCCCGTGTTCATGTCGACACCGATGGAGCTGGGAGGTCTCGGGTTATCCACGTCAGCCATAGGGAAGATCCTGTCCATGTACGGCGTCTTGAATGCCCTTTTCCAGTTCTTCGTTTTCGCGAGGCTCGACAGACTGTGGGGTACAAAAACGACCTTCACAGTTGGAATTGCGTCGGCTCTGCCCGCCTTCGCTTGTTATCCTATTATGACTGCGCTGATTAGGACTCAAGGGAGGTCGTCCTTGGTGTGGGGCGTCTTAGCCTTCCAAGTGGCATCTTCGATCGTGCTCAGTCTGTCATACGGTAAGCTATACACGCAATGCCCTCCTTCCATTTCACTGATCGTTCGTCAGGCGCTGTGTTCATCTACATCGCTGCTGCCTCGCCGAACCGTGCTTCCCTTGGAGCAACTAATGGCCTATGCCAAATGGTCGTGAGCATCTTCCGGACAATCGGCCCAGCAGCGGCCAACTCGCTCTATTCCGCATCGCTGAAACATCAGCTCTTGAACGGGTTTCTCGTCTACTACGTCTTGATGGCGTCGGTGTTTGTCGCCCTTGTTGTTGCATCCCTCCTTCCTACCCGTCTAAAGTAAGCCGAAGAGGATAGCCACGGCACCCTTCCCTCGGGGACTTTCGGTCGCGCACGATCCCCCAGATTGCGACGCCCGTCGGGCTATACTATCGCCTAGACAGTAAAATACCGATGTAGCAGAAGTCAAATCGTAGACACATCGAAGACTCTCGCTTTCCGGTAACTTCAATCATCACCTCTTCATCATAGCTAGTATCATAGCTCATAGCATAGTTGCCAAAGTTTTTATGACAGGAGTTTCAGCGCTCAAGTTGCGGATCTTGGTTTCGTAAGCAAGTCATCCTCTTCCTTCGACCACCATGAACAAAACCAATGACAAATTAAAGGGTACAGTTCAACGCCGTAAACGCTCTTGTGTCGCATGCAGGCAAGTTAAAGCACGATGTGAAGTTCTCACCGTCCTGGACCTCAGTTGTCATCGCTGCAAAACTCTAAAGACGCCCTGCTCACTGGATCAAAGTAAGGCAACCCTCCAGAAAGTCAAGCTGCGAATTCATTCTTACTCAATTAGGTTACTTTGTAACACCGCGTTTGTTGGAGGTGGATGTTCCTCTTACATTAACAATCACCCCCAATCAATCCGCTCGAGCATGGTCCTTTCTCCCGTGGCATTTCGACTGGTCGGCTCCCCTAGCCATATTCAGGCAGCTTTTGAACCCACCAGAGGCATTCAGCATCGTTGAAGAGCTCTCGTACGGACCAGAAACACTTCAACAAATCCTTCATCCAAGTGAAATCGATGAACTGCTTCTAATGTCCGCATCATTTGCCTTCTATTGGTGATATATCCTGACGGGGTTCGTATAGATTCTACACCAAATACGCGCCATGGCTCAATTTTGCGTTGCGATCTGGTACCTTTCTCGATTTGGCGTGTTGTACAATCACTTGTAGGCACCTGACACCAGCGCGGGCGCGAATTGTTTCCCCTCGACTTGTCCATCTCATTGGCAAATACATTTCGAACGTCGTTCTGAATCCCGGACACTACCAGTCGCTGGAAACTGTGCAAGGCCTCGCAATTTTGTCGATGTGGTCTCCGATATCTGAAGGTCGCGTTGGTGATGGTAGAGCACTCGCCAGTGTTGCGATTACCATTGGGATGAATCTCCGCTATCATAAGGCTTCTTCCCGAATTAAAGCGAGAGAGCCTTCCATTGTGCCCTCCCTCCGTCCGCCAGAGCCCTCTACACACGTTGATGATGATACGGAGCTGCTGGAACAAGCTCAATTGGTGAGTCGGCTCGTTGACGATTTCAAAACGACTGTTCACAATGGCATCTAGTGGCTGGCTCTAATAAACATCGAATCCATGTAGGCAAAATGTTTTTTTTTTGAGAATACGTTCAAAAGTGCTTGGTAGGTTGTGCCTTGGTAGCGGCCGACCGCCTCTATCGCGGCGCTCTAACAACGACGTCAAGACTCTGACGCATATCACTGGTGCGGATGGCCGCCACCTTCCAATGCGGATCATGACCGAGATCCTCGCGTCCGCAGAGCTCGGACTGGCCATTGAGCTCGCTAACGTTTCCGACTTGGAGACCTGGTTCTCCGCCACTTCATCATGTTTAGCTGCATTCGATGGAATTTCAAAAGTGATTACACCGTTCTCCGGTTAGCTTTCCTTCTGCTATTGAGTGGTTCGTACCGACCCTTTTTACAGTCGCCAGCGAACAGGATAAGTTATGGTACCACCTCTTCTCTTGTACCCTCCTGTCCTGTCGTCTGCTGGTCATTGATCACGTAGTTCGAATTGCGCGCGCTGCATCTCCAGATCACGACAGTCCCGTGTGGTTCAAGGATATCAAGCCACGCGGACTAGATGTCATACGTATCTGGGGCTCTGACGCTAACCGATCCGCAGAGGCGTTGCTGACCAACCTCCTCCAATCCGACAGCTCTTCCCTTGTGGCAGGCCCCGATGTGATGTTCACATGGATCGCTTTTGCTGCCGGCGTTATCGTCGAGTTCAACGTATACATGATGGACTATCTGGGAATCACTGTATCCGGTTGGGCTCAGCAGCTGCTCGAAAAAACGGTCAATTTGTTATCGGAAAAGGACTTTCCGGACCCCCATGCTGCAAGGCGGTGCGCTTGTGTGGTTGAGCACATGCTGCGAGCATGGATGGCACGCAAGGAAGACACTCGTTCGATTCGGGAAACCTCAGCCGTCATGACTTGAACATTGAGTAGATTAGCATGCATTGTACAGAAATCCAATCTACACCTATGCAGAAAGGTACACGGAATCGCGGTTCATGTTATGGGGGTTCTCGGCGTTCGTTCACCTCTATCATGCGATTTCGTATTTGGTCGTCCATCTTGCGAAACTTTGACTGTTCGGCCATGTGCCGTAGATTCAGAATCAAGCGCGTTACGGCCAGGGTTGTCGTGCACCATACGAAACTGAGAAAAGGCGAGTTATTCCTTCTGAGATGGGCGCATGTTAAAAACTCACAAGACTCCGAGATAGATGAGTGATAACTGTTTCTTGTTCAGTCTCCGAGATGCGAGTGAAACGGGGAATAAGCTCACCGGTGCAATGAAGGCGATCAATAGATTTAGCATCCGGAGAACTGCGCGAGTCAACGTCAACTAGGATGAAACAGAAAGAGAAAGCGGTCTTACGAAGAAGGACCTGGGCGTTTCATGTCATCCTAAGTATACAAGACTCTGCGACAGATAAAGATGAGGCGTACCACGAAATAAAAGACGCCATCTCGATAGAGTATGGACATTGCCTGTTCCTTTCGTGGCTGATACAAAGCATTCCATACAACCATAATAAATATGACAACCTCAAAGAGGACCTGTAAGGGAGGCATCAATGAATGCCGACAATGTATAACAGAATATGTGCTGACACCTGGGGCCCAAAGAATACCGACGTCGCTTCTGCTCGTTAAAACACATACACGAAGACTCGGTACCCATAACACAGAATCTGCCCCGAAATCAGCCGTCGGCGACAATGATATAGACGAAACTCACGGGTCAATGAAACGACAACCTTTATTCCGCAAGCAAAATTAGCCATCTGTGTTGCGACAAACAAGATGAGGGTCCATGTAATGAGGCGGACATTTCGATCCCAGAGGTTCCACAGGTGAAGGAGCACAAGAACTAATGAGAATTGAGCTGTTAAGTTTGGCGGAAGGAGGGGGAAGTACTCACAGTTTCCTGCAGCGATGGTTACGATACCGACCAAAGTCTAGAAGATGGTTGAGCGAAGGTATGGCGGCAAAGGGATGTACACACGGCGATATCGAACCACGTCTTGCAGCTTCGTTTGCACGCCATAAGCATGGTTTTACGGGCAGTCGAGCAAAGATCTTACAACTGTTGACAGTTAATTCGTAGAAAGCAACGTGAGCAGGTAACGCACTCCTGAAGACAGATTCGCCATGCCGCCCATTTCTATTCCACAAGTGCGTTCAGGTTTCGGCTACAGCCTTTGCATCGCCAGACTTACGAACGAGGTGGACAATAACGAAAACAGGCACGCTGTATCTCATTCCGAGAAAGAGCCATTTCGGAGTACTTGACGGCGCCTTCCAAATGAAACGTACTTCGTCCGCGAACGTCAAGGAATGGTCATACAGCATGAGCTGCTCAAGTTAAATTGGCAGCGGGCGCACATACTCAAAGACATACCACTAAGCCTGCGACTATCCGACCTGTTAGCAACGCGCATACTGGTAACCAAGATGGGACGTACTGCTGAGATATCTCGAGGCGTAGAGATTCTGGACCTGGTCTGCCAGATCATCGCTGCCAACCATCGCATTGGGACTATGCAAGGAAAGAAACACGCTTGCAGTCGGGCTTCGCGTTGAGAGGAACCTGAGAGTAAGCGACGAAGGCCGCCGGAAGCGGCGGGTAATCAGTGAAGGAGTTTAAAATCTATCAGTATCAGCCCTGGTCGGCTTTATGACCCAATAGATTATAGAAGAATTATCCCCACAAGGCACAGATAAGCACTCGGGCTCAAAGCGGTCCTGCTCGTTCGTTACTTACGAGAATCTGTGTTGAGGTCAGAGACACACGGAGAGGATAGCGGAACGTGCATCAGTAGATCGACATCCATTGGGGAAACTACAGTCATATCGTACAATGGACAGCCTACCGTCGACGTCAACGTCTTCAACATTGGAGCCAAAGGCAGGGTTAGGTCCAGGAGGGTTCAGGTACTGCTACACTTCTCCCGAGCTGTGCAGTGCACATACTACACCGCCGTTCCGAATCTTCCGATGCTTCGTCGAGCACATCGTGATGATTCTCGAGCTCAAGGTTCCTGCCCAGGAGGCTACGTTCAACACATCCTGAAGTGTAATCATCCAAATTGCATTATCGGATATGGTGTAACGGCTAACATTAGCGCCTCTCACTGAAGTCGCGCTAGCTCGGGGTTCGATTCCCCGTATCCGAAAGTTTTGCTCCTATGCGAGTCGCGTTGAATTTTCGCGCCGCGCCGCTGGAGCCTGGAGCCTGGCCCGCTGAGGGCGACGAGTTTCTGATTTGAAGTCGAGCCGAAGAAACAGATTGCTTCATAAGCAGCAAACCTCGTGAGATGTATGAACGAACCGGCATCGCTCACTCTCCTAATTCTATGTCTATGCCTGTGGATATAACGTTCGCGCGGATCGCCGCCGTCCGGTTAATTAAGCCACATAACACCAATCGGAATGGAGACGCCTTTGTGACGATGACTACCAGGTGTTTGATCGAGCTTCCTTTGTTCACTCGACATGGCCACGAGATGGCCACTGCCCATTGTTCATTGCTCTTGCTATAACACTCAGCTCCGACCCCCTTCTGCTCTACCTCAGTCATGGCAGAGAACTCCCACCGCGATCTGTCTCGCAAACCGTTTGTGCCAGTGAGGATGTCGTCTAATACCTCTGGAATCCTTGTGCCGAAAGCTTCTTCTGCCAACACTTCGATGCTCTCGCATAAGGCGTCGACGTCCTCGATGTCGAACGGTGCTACTAACATGTCGACGGCGATGGCGCATGTTAGTTTGAATATGTCGACTATCGTGGAGACGGCCGAGGGTCCGCAAGCCACTGGAAAGCAGGCGGCGGGGGAACTCCTCGTTGCGAATAGGTATGTCTTCTTGTGTCGAGCCACTAAGCAAGGCTTATGTGGACGTTTAGGTACTCTCGTATCGAAAAGATCGGGGAAGGCACATATGGTGTGGTGTACAAGGCGCGCGACGAAATGACGAATACCATAGTGGCGATGAAGAAGATACGATTGGAGTGCGAGGACGAGGGTGTGCCGAGCACGGCTATACGGGAGATCAGTTTGTTGAAAGAGTTGGGGAGAGCCAAAGGGCGGAATGTTGTCGGGTGAGTCTTTCTCTCGTTTACGTCGAATCATCGCCGTGTGCTGACGCCCAAATCGCAGGCTACTCGACATTGTCCACTTGGACCAGAAACTTTACCTCGTATGTGAATACTTGGACATGGACCTGAAGAAATACATCGACAGGGCGAACAAGAACAGAACGCCCATCACGATGAGCATGACCAAAGTGCATTCCTTTACATCCTTTCTCCACCGTGTTAACACGTTTCCAGCGGTTCAACCACCATATGATCCTCGGTCTGCTGTTCTGCCACTCGCGCCGCATCCTCCATCGCGACCTGAAGCCTCAGAACCTCCTGATCGACCGACACAATAACTTGAAGCTAGCTGACTTTGGACTGGCAAGAGCTTTCGGTGTGCCCATGAGGGCGTATACGCACGAGGTACGAACTCTTCTATTCTCTTAGGCTTGGCTAACCATGATGTCCAGGTAATAACCCTCTGGTACCGCCCACCCGAAATCCTCTTGGGTTCACGACACTACTCCCCTGCGGTCGACCTCTGGAGCGTCGGCACCATCTTCGCAGAGATGGCCGCCCATGGGATGCCCCTCTTTCCTGGGGACTCGGAGATTGACCAGATTTTCAAGATCTTCCGGTACGCATCCATCTTGTCTTCTACATTTCTTCCTTTGATTAACGAAGACCACCGCAGGATCATGGGCACCCCAGACTCGGAAATATGGCCGGGGATTGAGACGTTACCAGACTACAAGGCCACGTTCCCGCACTGGGGCGCCGCGGATATTACACGAGTTGTACCACGCCTGTGTTCAGATGGAGTGGATCTACTACATGTTAGTAACTCTTAATAGTGCGATAAGAGTTGAGCTGATGCCATATCGACAGCGTCTTCTTGAGTACAACCCCATCAAGCGCATTTCTGCAAAGAGGGCGTTGAAGCATCCCTATTTTTTCGAATACCAGTCGGAGTCGGAGTAGATTACTTGTATTATCATTAGACATCTACAGCATATCTGTTTATCATTGTACTACTATCAGTCTGTTGCCAATACCGTATTTTCACAAGCCTTGAGGGCCATGAGCCAGTATATACAACTCTCGTATGATTAGTTATAGTGTAATAACTAATTCTGGCAGTGATGGGGCCAATAACTGAAGTTGGCGAGACAGCCCGACGCGGCACCGTGACCGCCCCTGCCCGCCCAGGCATGTTTCCAAAATAGGACAGGTCCCCGGTCCCGCTCCTTCGGTGGGCGCGACCTAGCTAGCTAAGTCTCCTTCATGTAGACTATTGCAAACCGTGCAGATGCCCTCTGCTAACGTACTTTGTGGTCCACGGACGGCCCAAACCTCCAACTTAACCGGACAGAGGACTATGCCGCGCACGCGGCTGCAAGCTGCAAGTCAGAGAGAGGCGCGCTGATGCGCCCCAATCGTACACACCCCCTACCAGAAGCGGCGGCGCTGCGGGACTGCCAATTTCAGTTATGTATTCCCAGTTTTGACATCTGTAGCTATCGGTGAGTCTACTCCGTCGAATTACACGCCATTTTAAGTTATTACGACCAATTTTAGTTATTGTACAATAACTAATCGTACGAGAGTTGTCGTGCCTCGACATGAGCTGAGGGTACTTGAAAGCCCTCAGCGTTCAGAAGATGATTTACTGATGATGGGTATTGGATACATAATATACAACGGTAGATGTGAAAGCGTAACTAACATAGTGGACAGCAGACAATGGTAATGACTTGTACGGAAAGGGTGATAATGACGGACGAGGGATCTTGAGTAAATCTACTGACCGCGCCGAACTGTTCGGCGCGCAAGAGGCGGCTGTCCAGGGAGACGCTGTTGAGAACAGTCGTTAAATATTCACCTCGAAAACCGAGTAAACGTGCTCTGCTCACCTCCAGCTCAAATTTGAGCAAGATACAGCTCTTCTTCGTCACCGGGTGCGGCTTGCTCGACTCCGTCCACCAATTCCTTACGAAATAGAGCCCGTCATATCGGTACCCCACCTTGGGCGCAAAGTCGCTGTGTGCGTCGGGCCCACGCAAGACGCGCACAGGCTTTGCTGTCGCGATAGACATCTGCAATAGGGTTAAGAACATACTTGGTTTACAAAACAAAAACGACTCACAATCAAACTCAGATTCATCGGATCGTCCTCCGACTGGTCCTCTGTGGGATGCCCTGTGGGTTTCCCAAAGTCGTCTGCCTGACCGCCCGTACCAGTGTAGACAATTCTATCACCGTGATCTTCGTCGTCGTAGCGGCCAGACAGACAGATGCTGTACGCGCCATGTGGCCCAGGGGATATTCCAGCCTGGGTTTTGCGGTGGACGCCTGCGGCACAGGCGCCTTTGCTAATATTGAAGTGTTGTGAACACGCGACTTATATCAAAACAATTAAAAGACATACCGATTCTCCCACAGATGGCCGACGCCGACTGTCTTGACGGGTCCATACACGTCCGCGGAGGGACGCTGAACCTTCAAAGCCTCGGGGGGAAACAAGTCGGGATTCAGCATCACGGATTTGCGACGCGCTTCCATTGCCGTGTATTGAGACTGGCGACTTAGTCAATTTGGGGGGAGGTGGTTGATGATGCGGTGGCCCAGCAGCGAAATTCTGCTTTATATAGCGCGAAAAGACCACTAGAGGAATCGAAAGGAGCAGGTCCAAGCGCAAAGGTAGCAAACACAGTGACAATGGCAGGATGAAAGGAGTCGATCAGGCACGGCGCGGTCCCGAACGCGTTTCACCCACGGTCCCAAAATAGACCCAAAACGGAGATAGGAGAAACGAGAACATTCTGGATGATACGCAGCACAATAAAAGGAATAGTACTGTCTACGTGCTCAAAGTTATCAGGCGCAGGATACATATTGATAGCTCGAGCGTTCATTTCGTTACTCGTGAGCTGTGCAAGGTCCAAGACTCCAAGTCACAATTACACTCAAAGAATGGTTGTTACATCACAACACAGGCCACTGGCAGAACACGGCCAGTGCGAGTATCACTGGGTATAATGTCAAAATCCTAAAATCGAGAGAAAGATCAGTTCTTGAAACGAGAAGAAGGAAAACAATCATCAACGTACAATGTGTATGCGCGAGGAGTTGCTAGAACGCCATCGGTGTCTCCGCTTTCATTTACAGCCGTCCCATTCGCATTTCCCGAAGTAGAGTTCCCGCCGCTATCCGCAGTGGTAGTCGAGCCTCCGCCGCTGTCCGTGGCGGTCGTCGAATTTCCACCGTTCTCAGTGGTCGTAGAGTTCCCACTACCTTCTCCTTCAACACTCGAATTTTTGACATTTCTTTCAAGCTTTGTTAAGAGAAACCCTTCGCCCGTTGGACTGTCCCTTTCCACACTCGCTTGTACGACGGACCCGAACTCGTTGAGCCATGTCGCATTGTAATCGGAGACTACGCGCAAGTCAACACGAAAAGATTCAGCGTTCTGCCAAGTACATTATTTACCTGTCTCCAATCTAGTAGTGGACGCTGAGGCGAATTGGAGGTCGATAAGCTTCGAGGTCTGGACGGTCCAGGGAGAGAATACATTAAGTGGGTGACCAAACTGGGACGAATCGGTATCGAGGACGCAGGTAGAGGAGAATAACGAGTACAGAATCTATTGTACGTCAGAATGAGTCTACCACGCGAAGATGTAACGACTCACCACACCGACCGCACCATGATCTGCCGCGAGGGTGATTATATCGACCGCTGGGTTGAAACTGGACACATTGAAGTCGCAGGACACCAGAGCAATCCAGGGCGCCTCACCTGCATCCTACACTCAGCCTCATACCTCCACTAAAAAGAAGCATTTCAGACTTACTAGACGTCGGTGTCGTCTCGCCGTTGGTCATCGTTTCCGAGAAGTGCATGAGCACGCCTTGGGTGTCTAATTCGGAAGCCTGAAGGACTTGTCGGACGTTATCCATATACACTCTGCATGGGCCATTTTGTCAGCGTCATCTCCTAGTATACAATGCAAACGACATACCCATCTAGATACCAACGCAGTGTCGCTGTGGCATTATCGCTAGTAGGAAGGCCGGTAGTGTCGTTTGTCGGCAAAGAG